TCGACCGATTCGGACCGAAACGGTAACGGCCTCTACGAGATCAGCCTCGTAGCAGATGATTTATGGGAGCGATGCCGGTGAGCAGGGGGGGGGGGGGGGGGGGAACCGCAGACGAACAAATGCGCAGGAAAATCCGGGAAGAACCAGAGAGGAATGAAGGCCTGTTTTTCCTTCGTCGCAGCTCACGTTCATGCAGGAACTCCATTATCGTCGCGATACCTTCCGTTCTTGGAATGCACAGGGTTTCATGGAATGCGGTCTCGGAAAACGTACAAGGTCGGGGATTTCTTTTTTTCTTTACGGGACAATGGTCTTCCTCGCGTTTTCGCGTCGAGATCCAAGAAATGCCAAAAAGGACAGCGATGGCAAAAATCTTCACATCTTTCCAAACCGATCGATATCCGCGAATTTGCGACCTAGTGTTATCGCTCTGCTCTCAATTCATAAGGAAAACGGCAAGAATTGCTACCCAGAGGATCCATTTGAATTCCCGATGCTTTCGCGGATGACGATTTATCCGATATTTGTCTTCAGGCTTCTGGTTTTTTTTTCCCCCGCGCGATACAAAAGCAGCCAGCGGGCGTTCTGATTTCGCTCGTACGAGCACGTGACTACTTCTTTGCATGAGTTCGTGCGATCAGGGTCTGCGAGCGAGTCATGATATTTAAAGATCGCTAATGGAATTCAGGAAATGATTTTCAACGTTTTGGGTGGACTCAACCTGTACAAATTATAAATCGTTGTCAGGAATTACGATATTACGAAACATACAACTTGTAAAGAAGTAATTTTCTCTTACCGATCGCCATAAACGTTTTTCTAATGAAATCGCAAAATTTTAGCGCCAGTTCTGTCCAATAACAAGCCGACAAGGGAGCGGGAACATGGTTTTAGTTGTAGCGGTAAACGCATTACCTATTTGATTACTTTTTTTTTCAAAACTTTTTTTTAACGTAGGAAAAACTACCCTTCCCTGAATTTCGCTATAGCGAGCGTTGAGTATGCGAATTCCATTTGTTCAATATGTCCATCTGAGCGTTTGACACATTTCTGCAGCTTCCCCAACCAATCGACGACACTTTGCAGAATGTCCGGTGGTATCTCAAGGCGGGCATGAATAAAATAAACAGGCCCTAGTGAAATTTGTAGAATTTTATATGGTTCCAAACTTAAACCATTAAAGTGCTGAGTTTTGTCCAGGTGCGCACGCCGCCAGTGCTGTTTTTTTTTCCCCCTTAGGATTCGGGGTACGTTGTTCACAGGGCAGGCCTCAGGCCTGTCCCACACATGCCCCCGCACAGGGCGCAATTTCACCTGGGACGCGAAAACGTGACTAAGTTTTTGTGTACGAAGCCATGATGGATGTCACCCTCAGTTTTACTTCATAAAGTGGAAATACCTTCCGTTTCGGTGTCATTTTGGACGCGAAGGATTGACCCTCCTCCCTTCCGGGGGTGGGGCGGAGTTGAGTGTCTCTTTGCACAGGGCGCCGAAATAGCTAGGACCGGCGAATGGTTGTTCATACCAATATTTCTACGCTACTCATGATACTTAGGCCATCTAGCGTAGAAAGCGGGAAGGGTTTGGCGGGTGTTTACCTCGGCTCGCATAATTTCAAAACAATCTAGTATCCTGGATGCTCATATTATCATTTACCGCATGCTTATTGAAGTCAATAGTTCCAAATTTGCCATTGCAAATACATTAATGTTTAATTTTCAATATTAGAAAATTAATTAAAATATTTAACAAAATTGTCGAAATTTCAAACCAACTATCGATAGGTTTAAAGGGATTTGAATGGGTAGAAATACAAACTCCATGGGTAGGCAAGTAGATATGCTGTTATTTGCATTTTCAACCAGCACAAGACAAAGAAAGGGGAATTGATTGACTTCAGCACAACTCCAACTCTTTTTAATGCTCCGATGCATTCAAAGGGACGCTGTCTTTAAAAATGTCCCAAGGCCATGACATGAATAGTGGTAGGGTAATTATTACTTTTTTATTATCTGCATGTAGTCTTTCCTGATAGATATCCTGATATACCAGGTGAATCCACAAAATGGACATGTCCAGCAGTATGTAATATAGTTGGAGCCGTGCTTGAGCCTATAATGATGTGTTATGATTGGGGAATACTCTAAATTTAAGTTTGACTCTTCAGTCAGGGTGATCAAATAAGGTGATGTTATGTATGAAGCCTACAAGACAGAGGTTTGCTTTCAAATTTCTGGAAAGGATCTTACATTCAGTTGTCCCAAGGGTTCCCAAGTTACTGGAAGCATGCAACATGTGCTGGTACAATATTTATAATTTTTTATGAATCTTTATTCCAGTGTACAGTGATGGAGCAGAAGAGGAGGACAATGAGGATATTGCTGCTGAGGACTTTGCATCCTTGTCCCATTTCCTCCAAGACCTTCCAGAGGTTGCTCTCTCACCAATATGGAAATATATTCTGATTGCTGGGTTTTTGAGTTTCCTCAATATGTGACTTTGTTTCATATTCTGTAACCGGTGCTATGGCCCACCTGTGACTCAAGTCCCAAACAAGAATATTTATAAATCTATGTTCATGCAACACAAGCACAAATGTCAGCTTTACTTTGTCTATATGAATGAAGGGATAGTTGTGTCCTCATGAGTCTCAAGAAATGATTCCTTTGACTGATATTCTGACACAAGATGGATTTTTATAGTCAATGACAAAGTTCATGACTTCACTCAGGAGAAATATCAAGTACTATAAGGAATATCATTCAACATTTCAAGCAGCAAAACACCATAATTATAAACACTTATTTGACAGGAGTTTTCCTGCTGCCTCTCCTCTTCATGGTGGTTGTACACTGAGGGCAATACCATTTGCCCTTTGGTGGCTGAGTGATATTCACACATGGATAATGGAACCACTCATAAGGACAATCCTCATTGTCACAGGCAACCATGTCACCATATGAGACCTGATTGCAAAGGCAGTATCTAGGTTCGTTGGGGTCATAGGTCCAGTCTGTATTTTCCAAGCTCTCCATCAGAGAATCTTCCAACAATGAGGGAGGAGATGGCTCTGGCAACGGTGTAATAGGTTGGACTTGAACTGTACTCTTTCTAGAGCCTTTGCTCTTCTTCTTCTCTGGGGTCTGATCAGGGCCAACCAAAGATAGAGACCCTGGAGTAACAAGCTCCTTTCCAATACTCAGATCACCCACATTGAGGCCCGAACTGACAGCTTCATAAGAGGCTTTGAGACTTGCACTCTTCCGCCCCTGCTGCATCTGCTGGGTAGCTGCAATGGCTTGAGAGGCAGCTGCCATGATAGCGTTGCCACCAGCTCCTATATGACCCAAACTGTAAGAGACATCTCCTGTTCCCCAGGACTCCTTCTTATCGGATGCAGATCTTTTCTCATTTCTCACACCACGATTCTCCTTGGAATCCTGTTCGCTGGGCTGGTCTAGTTCTAGTGACCTTTGCTCAAGAGTTTCGGTGATCCCTGGGTTATCTGCTTCCAACTCAAGCTTGAATTTATGAAGCTCTGTGTCAAGACGACGGAGGTAGCGGTCAACCAAGTCGTACATTTGACTTGCCATCTGAACTTTCTCATCAGCATCCTCAAGAGTCTTGTAATATTCCTTTTGAACCTCTTGGAATCTCTTATCACGCTCAGACTGATTTAAATTGCCAGCCTTGGCAAAAAATTCTTGAGCTCGTTTCTCCAGCTGATCAGTTGTATTCTGAACTTGCAAATCAAGTTCTCGAAGCTCAAAAAATCTATCACGAAATTCTCTAGGCAAATGCTCTATCATTTCAAGGTAATCTTCAAGGTACAACATTCTTCTTGGTGGGGCAATGATAATTATCAGTAAATAATTATGAATCTCAATATGTTAGAGCTGCTTGCCACCTATAAAAAAAGAAGAGAATCAGCATTAATTTTCATGATTCAAGGCTTAAAATATGAAAAAATCACAAAAAATCTGCAAAAAAAGGGAGTGCATACTAATTCCAAAGAAGAAAAGAACTAACAGTAATAGATAAAAATAAAAGGAAGATCAAAACATGCAAGCAGGCCTCCAGGCTCAAAGCTCTTCACCTGGGAGAGGTGTGTGGAGGATGGATGCAAGAAACAGTGAATGAAAGTGTAGAAATTAACCAACATGAATAGCAGGGATCTCTGCATCTACTATACTGTTTTCAGACTACATTTGTACTCCCTTGCCCCTGGGTACTTCAAAACAGAGAAAATACTACTTTCTGAGGATCTACTTGATCCATGAAGCCACCTATCTACAAGATGTCATTGTCTGCAATTGCATACTTCAACTCTGGAAGGATCTGAGGGTTACCTCAGTACATACAGATTTCAGGTACCCTCTAACCATAAATCTTCTGAAGCACTTTGGAGACAGGATCACATCATGTCACTTTCTGCATGAATGGCCTCCCCATTCACCAGCAGATTTTTGGCTAAAGGGGTACTGAAAATCACACTTGTACCAAAGGAATCCTCAGACACTTTTGTAGCTGAAGGATGTAATTGTCCAGGAAGTGGTAGCCATACTGGATGAGATGCATTTGGTTGCCATCGTGGCCATCATCACATGTATGGTAAGCATATTGAACATCTGTGATCACTCTGGCAACATCCTTGAACATGTGACGAACATCGCATGATTCCCCCTGGTCCTTGTATCAACCATGTACAGTGCCAGCATTCTGTCAATGCACTTCAGAGATACTGTGTCTGAGAAGTGCAAGTTTTCTTTATAATTACCCTTCATACATCACAAGCAGATGTGGACCAGTTCTGTATGGACAGAAATCTATGCCCTTATCACCTAAAAGGTTAAACACACTAAGCATATACTCTGTTTGGACATATATATATGTTACATAACTCAGCCCAACCTTTCAACAGGAATTCACAGCACATATTCTTTACAGTAGCACCATGCCTTAGTTAATCCTCTGACTTCTGAGTTATCTTCCTTGGGACATCAATCTAATGTAGGGTTCTGGTTTGAAATCATCACCATAATCAGATTAACACATTCACGCCCAGCAACTCCAGAACACTATGGGTTTAAAAACGTAATATTATGGTTCCTGGCATCAATGGGTTAATATAGGAAAGATCCATTTCTCTCCACATGTCCAACTACAGTTGATATGGATCTCTGTAAAAAAAAAAAAGTAAAAAAACAAAATTCTCCATGGTCCCCAAGCTCCTCTTGACTGGATATGACTCAAAATCCATATCAAGATATATCCTACAGCAAAAACTAAAATTTTCTCAGATAAAAAGTGAAATGATAAAAAAGTTGCTGATCTAAAATGGAAGATGTTTTCAGGAAGTATAATACTATGATTGCACAGGTAAATTTTGTATGAACACTGCTGGTGAAAATTATCACTTTCCAACATTCCTTTCCATATTATATATTCATTTTTTGATGTGGGTGCTTGATGTCTGTGAAAATGGTGATAAATTAAGAAATTCCTGCAATGAAAAATATTTGCACTCAAAGAGCATTATTAGCATGAGAACTCAGCTTCTAGAACTTCCATATCAAACATAGTCTGTTAGCTATCTTTACTGCACCTTCTTAAAATTGTGATCATTTTTATCATCATATACTCAGATGAGGAAATGACTCAGAAAGCTAAAGAAAGAGCTAAAAGTGAAGAAAGCTACTTTCAGGGCTTCCATGACACTACCTTATGCAGTAATAACATCATACTTCCAGAAACATTCTATTATCCATATCACACTATAGAGTTTTTTGCAGATCATAAAAGACCTAAACAGTACTTATATGTCTCTATATAGGCCTAAGATACCTATATATCACTCATATGTTGAGCAACCTTCTCCCATCATATTAGACAAACCTGGAACTCATTCTGCTTTCAAAGCATGCAAACAGCTTGCAAAAGTATGGCCTAGCCTATCGCGAAAGTAAAAAACCTTAGCCTTAGACAGTTCAACATTCCCTGGTTTGACTTTCCATGCTAGTGCATGGGAAGTCTCTTCAGGGCTATTGGGGTCTGCCACAACTTACAGGTGTTGCCATTCATATCCAGCTATCAGTTAATCACTGTTTCAAATAAAAGCAACGGGTTGAAGAATCTGCTATTGAACTTCTTGTGAACACCATGTACAACCCTCTTTAAGCCACGTTCGTTACTGAGAATGTGACAGGACTTGAAGGCCAAGGCCTAAATGCCACGGGAAAAAATTCTAATTTACAATATTTTCGAATGCCACGCATAAGAATGGGGCATGGAGCTACCATAACATGGAAGGGCCAGAACTAACAACGTAAGCTTGCATTTGTAAACAGTATTGCAAGAATGGGAAGCGCATAAACACATTTCAAGGGCCATCTAGTCTCACGCGAACCCAAGGAGCCTTAACTGGTAAGAACCAAAGAGTTGATGCCCTAAATTTAATAGGCCAATTAAAGAACATGAGAAATTGGCCAAGGCATTATGTTCTCCAGTTTTGATCGAAATTTCTGTCCCGATAAAGCACGTTTTGTTAGAGCAGCCCTTGTGGTGGACTTGAGAAGCAACGGGTAGAAAGCAGATTTGCGACCTGCGGAATTCATAGCGGGGATAAAATATAGAATGGCAAAGTGCAGAAATAAGGTGAAAAATGCAGAGCAATGCAAAATGCGAAATATTTTAAATATATATTTTCAAAATTACCGAATCGATCTCTACTTACTGATCAGTGACGATTCGAAAGAGTAAGATGAGTGGTTCACTAAAAAGAAATCCAAGAGATGGCGCTAAGGCAGCAGTATCATTATGGGTCATATTCACTGGTAGAATTTTTTGTGCGGAAATTAGCGAACGTAGTACGTATCTTTAACACACTGTGGACGAGTCGCGAATATCACTGCGTTTTTGAAACTGCTTGTAACATAGCAGCTTGAAGCTGTACCTACCAGCCTAAGTTGATCAATTTATTTTCATGTTTTCTTAGCATTTATGCTAACTTGTGGAAGATGAAAATCATATGGAATCCAGTATGGTTCACATAAATACAAGTGGTGTTCCGAAAGTAACCATATTTATTTTATTTCTCTTGTCTCTTCACCCTGAACACGCGAAACTCGGTTCAAGTCCAGTTTCATATCTAATTTAGCAGAAGTGCTACAGAGTGTGAACCAATGATGACAGTGAGCGCTGCAGTGCGCGCACATTTACAGCAATGCAAATTGCCACAGCAGAACAAAGACGTGTCATGAAATTTACTCAAAAAGTGAAGAGAAGTCCTGGAAATGGGTTTAAACGTTAGAGAACAGCGCATGGTAATGAATGCATGTACAGAACGCAGAATTCTGTATGTTTAAGCAAGTTCAAGGGCGATTACACCACTGCGAACAACGAACAGCTCTCGGTACCCACACCTCGTCAGTCTTCCTGTTCGGGGTGCATTGCCCACAGTGGTATTAGTAGTAACCGTCTTAAAGCCAATGGAACTGTACATAAAGTTATTCCCTGTATAGTGTCGTTTACAGAATTTTATGAAGGGGAGGGGGCTCAGCATTAAGGCAGCCGAATGGCAAGAGCGGTAGTCAGCCCCCCCCCCCCCCCCGCCTGCCTAAGCCACTGTCCCTGCACACTCACTCATTTTCATTAACAGACTTCGAGCGATTAACATTGATTAAACTAACTCCAATGAAATCGAAAGCATTGGTAAATGACATGTGACAAGCGTCCGATATAATGTACGTATCACCCAACAATTGAACTCATTTGCAACCAGTTTTTTCCCCAATTGATGTTCACGAAAATAGTAGATTCCAGACTCGGGCTTGGAACGGAAATCTCAGCATGCCTTTCTGAGTAGGCGTAATTGGATTGTAGAATTCCAATAAACTGGCTCATTAATCTATTAGATGTTCACAATGAGTAACGGGTGTGATGGACAGAGGGAACCCCGTCGACATCGTCCCATTTAGACTTCGCCGAAGTTCGCCAAACCGTTCCTCCCAAGAGGTTAGGGGTTACGTCTTTTCATCTTATCATCTTTAGATGGAGGCATTAACTGGCTCATGCAAAGGCTTTCAAGGTTCACAGTTTAGGCTTTCAGCATTACTTAGTTTGATTCAGGAGCCTGGCTGCTGAATCATATCTTTGTACGTCAGTGGGAAAGTAAAATCTTAAAAAGAAGAGTTGGCATGCACCAACACCATTTAGAATATGAGAGGCCATAGTGAAATGAGCATCTACCATATTACCTGGTGTTTTAATTTTTGGATTGACTTTCACCCACATAAGTTATTACCCACACTGGCACCGTTGTCAATGGTGGTCCAGAAACACCTAGTCATTGCAAAAGTGTGTGTTTTACTTGGAGAATGGGCCATTCACATTTCCAGAGATTGTGGACCAGTGCACTGCATGCCATGAGTCTCATTGGCTCTATATCTCTCAGCTGGATGAGTTACTTCTCGCCCCATGCGGGAGATGCAATTTGGCCATATCGGTCACTCCATGGAATTACTGCCTGTCAAACAATCTTCCCTGTTGGTGATCTTCAACCATCTGGTGAATGGCAAGATGATAATTTTTTAATAAGTGAGTGCAAAAGGATGACTAAGGGTGGATTTTTTTAAACATAAAACTATCTGATAATGCAGCTTTATTCCAGAGAAAATACATGATATTTCCTGGAAATAAAGCTGCATTATCGGATAGTTCTCTGTTCAAAAATCCACCCTAAATTTGTGCAGAAAACCATGAAGAATGACTGGCATGCATGTTCTGGTTAAATTTTACATTGTTAGCCCTTTAAATTATACATATTTCTTCTAAGTGCTTGTACATCCAAAATTTGGGCCCTCATGCTTCAATCTTGTTCATGTTAATTATGTAATATCAATCTAATTATTTAAAATGTGCTTCATATATGAACACCATGTATAATGATATATAGCTTCAAATATAGACAGGACATGATGTGGCATACATGGACTATATATAGTATAGCTGTATAGACCTACATATGAAATCTGTATTGATAAATATTGTCTTCAGATATGTTTAGATATGATTCATGCCAGGATATTTCATGTCCAAAAAGAGACTACCTGTGGGAGGCTTTTTTATTATTGACACTTACATAGCCTTTTTTTCAATTCTTGTGGACAGACAACAAACCAATCTCAGAATAGTGTCAGATCTTTCCTCCTTCCACTTTGGCATGACCAATAATTAATTGCTCAGACCCAGTGCTTTAAAAAATTTTTTCTTATTTGAATGGAGAAGAAATTTAATGCAAAGTTCAAATAAAAAATTGTCATTTGACCTTATTTCACAAACTTCTTGTAATCAACATAGTATACTGTAGATTGAATAATGAAGTGTTCTGGGAAGTCAAAATAATAACAATTAGGAGTTTACTCAACAAAATGTTTCTATGTGTTGACCACCTATTTCCAGACATTTAGAAACCCTGGTACTTGCATTGTCGGCAACAACTGCGAGAATTTCGTCACTTATCTGGCTCATGGCATGAGAGTGGGCTTGTCCAGGTAAACAATGCCTTTCTTCCACTTGTTGTGCATTGTTGTGAATGCTGTATTCCATATATTTGAAACTGTAATTAAAACAAGGGTCTGGCAAAGTTCTTCAGCTTTCTGGGTCAACCATGACAAATTAGTTATTACCCAATCTGATTAAGAAAAACATGGCTTTGAGAAATACAACTTAACCAATATCACAAAGAGATGGAGGAAAATCACAATTAAGTGTTCAAAACATCTAGCAATCGACGTTGTAAAATGCCCTTCACGTGGACAAAAAACAAGTCCAACTAGATCTGAACTAAAGCAAAGTAACTTTCAGAACTACATTGTCCATCAGATCTGGACTTATGAGCCCACTACACTGGGCAAAAGTGGTGAAAATACATTTTTCAGAATATTAGAAATTGTACTCTTAAAAATGTTATAGCTACATATATATGTTACATGTAATTAGGAACTTCTTTTCAAGAGACATGTGACACCATACTGGAAGATTTACAGCAATGTGGTAAAAAGTTTTACATTTCATGATGCAGGCTATATCATTTTGGGTATTTTGTCAATATTTTTAATTGCAATATATCAAGAACTATTTGATACATGATAAGAAATTTTGACTTTACTATTATCCACTAGGAGCCTCTAGGCGTATGATTACACCCTCACACTGGCACACCTCAGCTCTCACCTCCCCTTTAACTTCATCTAACCCCAAGTAATCTCTAACCATGCTTTCATTCCAAATTCCGAAGGAAAACATTGGAGATAACCCGGCCTTTATGAGGATTATCAACATATATGAAATGATTCGAATTAGATGCATTTTGGCGACAGATTTGACACTCTTACCGACAGATACCGTGTGTCATCGGTACGTAACTAGGATGTCACGCAAAACCGCATATTCTTTTTTTTTACCATCAGCGTATTCTCAAAACTCCAACTACGCACAGGGCAGCACGTGGTGCGTGGAGATTATGACCGGAGAGGGGGTGTTTTTCATGAGACAGTGTTGCCCAAGCTCTCTTTCATTGATTCCGTAACTAAAGTAGGTATAGAGAAAGTGAGAATGGTATCGATTGATGGTAATTTCCGACTGTTAAATAATGGCAACATAGGTTTCACATTTGAAGGAAAACTGCTTGAATTAAATTCAATTTGCTACTATGAAGCTGCAATGAGGTGAAGGTTGTTCTGAAGGAATATGGCGTTTGACAGTGCGGCATTAATTTGCACGTGTACATCGTGTTGCCGAAGGGACGGACGTCTTCTCTCAAAGATTCTAAAGAATGCCAAGATCCTATAGATTCTTGGCATATTAATATTCAATCCAAATATCGATGGGAAGAAATAACGCACCGGCTAGAGTTTGGCCAGGCCTACTTGACTGAAGTCGTTTTATTGCACTCTAGGGATTTGGTTATTTTAGTTAAATTTTCCGAATTTGTGTGTTTTCATATCCCCACCGTCTGTTTTTCTCAAAGTGAGATAGGGATGGAGATGTGAGTAGGAAGTTCTGCCTAGGAAATGAAATAATAATTGAATGTACTGCCAAACTGACTGACTGCTCTCAAGAAAGGAGTAGAGGGAAAATGAAAAACCAGGAAAATTATGAATGGAGACGAATGGGAGAGACACAGACGAAGATAAGGCAGAAACTTGAAACTAAGCAAAAGCAGTAGAACAAATGAAATTAAGTGAGGAAATTAGGAAGGCCAAACATTGCATAGAAATGAAATGCATATATACATAAAAATAGTAAGGCACTATGATCATAAAAAATTATTTTTGACATCTGATTTGAACTTCCTGGATTGGTCCAGGGTGGCTGGATTTAAATTTTTCATCTCATCCTTTGGCATTTATTTGATAATTCTGATTTCAATTTTGAGTTGGTCTCAATGTTATAGCAATAAATATATAAGGAGTTTTCCATTCCTAAGTTCATGCATTGAAAATTCCTGTTTAAGCAATGCATTGAGCCAATTTATTCAGATTTAGATTCACAATTTGATTATCACATGAATGCAGTAATTAATAGCAGTTTTACTTTTCACTCCATGATGGTATCTTGCACCTGGCTCAGGTATAGGTACCTAGCTGATTTTGTTTTGAATAAACAAAATCCATTGAGTAAAAAGCTTCTTTTTATAATCAATGTAGTTGGAAACATTTGTTATTTTTATGCATTTCTTTTAGATTATATAAGCCTCTAAAGGTATATATAATGTGCTAATGCCCAGATAGATGTATAGTAATTCAGCTGCAGATGAATTACAGTGTAATACCATAACCTTAACATCATTAACCTTAATTACCCTTGACATTTTTTCCTGGAAAACCCTTTGAAGTAATTCCCATCAAACTGAAGTTCCAGCTCTACTGTAATTGCATAAGCCCTGTATAGATATGAGCTCTGTTTGGAGACATCTGGAAATCATGCATCAAATTTCGCTGTAGAATTTAGAAAGCTGTTTTTACACAGTTTGAAAATATTTTAAACACAGATAAGTAATGGGTTCAAGGTATGTGCATTACTTTTTTTTTGCCAATTTCTAAATGTACAGAGCACTCAAATTCTACCTATGAACAACATTCTATTATGGAATCTGAAATAACCATTTATTGTGACTCAAACTAACTGCAGACCTCGTAGTAATGTATAATGTCCTCCTTCCACTGTCATAAAACTGTAAATAATGAGTTAGTGAAACTAGTGAGGGATTTCAGAATTTCTTTACTAATAATTCTACAAATGTAAAATTTAACTGCCATGTTCTTTGCTGGTCCAGTTGTAGAACAAATGAATCTTCTTGTATTCAGAGGTAATATATTTGATTAGCATTTTATTCAAAAAAAGAAGGGCTTATGATGCATTTCCAAGAAATTGCATACTAGGCTGCAACTGCTAAAGAGTGCAGAGGCTCCTCAGTGCTCAGGATGTTCTTCTCTCCAGAATTGCACATTTTGGATAGTTTACCAATCCATGCTCAGAGAAATGAGTTTCATCAGTGGATGAAGTTTGTTAAATAATGACAATCCTCACCAATCTCTTGCAATCTCCAAGGATCACTTCTCTTTTGGAAGTCTGTCCATTATGAATGTGCTGCAGCACCTAACAGATTGCTTAGGCCCATGTAAGGGTCAGAAAAATTCATTCTCAATTGCACCAAATTAGGAAATATATATCATTCCAAGTTTTATGAATAGTCTACACACCCAAAATAAATTATTTTTTCAGATTTAGCATTTCAAAAGTTGCTTGAAGGTAGTTACTTTATGGACACCCTGTCTCCAAAAGACTGATAAGGAAATAGAGGAGATTTCTTCCATCCACCTTGACCCAAGGGTAACTACTTGTTCAAAGAGTCACATGGCTCTCTATCACCCTTTATCCATAAATAGACTGTGGCTAAATCCAGCTTAAAAATGCATTATCATCATGCATTTCTTTCAATGCATTATCATAAACCATTTGCCCTGAATCCAAGTCTTCCACCATTCTTTGACTTTGTTTAATGCCTGAGCTTAATTATAAATGAAAGTACATATGCCTATTCACATTGATCAGATACTGGTCACCACCAGTTGATTTGTACCACCACCACTAAGTCTGGAAACTTGGAAATGTATTGATTTATAATTATATGTGCAATGTGTTTTGATGCAAAAACAGCAGGATATTGACTTTCATTTATTTCTTTCTGAATGGAGATTAGGATGTATAAGAAAGATCAAAACACCTGGCCATTAAATCTTCAAGAAACTGAGACATATTCACATGTGCCAAGAGAACAGGTAAACCATGAAGTGCATTATCTCTCAATTTGATCAGGTATTCCTTCCTCATATTTGTAAAACTAGTAGCTCTGTGTTATGTGGAATTTGAAGATATTTGAGATAAGGAGAGAGCCTGAGTCTACTTTTAGTTGCTTTGGACCAAACCACATTAACCAAGAATGTATTTGAGACTTAAAAATATAGGACTAAGCAAAAAATGTATAAATGTTGTCATGCTGCTACAATGCTATGGTATTAATTTATAGGAGGAAAGCATAACATTTTACTATAAATTGCTAATTTCAGAATAACCAATGTTATGGTGACTCATGGAAAGAACAATTATGGTACTGTTGTTCCCTGATGCATTACTCATAACTGCTGCTGATTAAATTGTACCTTCCATACTTTCAGAAGGTTTTGCCCATTTGGAGAGCAAAAACATGCCATTGCTTGAACAACAGATGTCTTCCACTTCAAAGGAACATGTTCAAGCAGGAGATGGTGAGGATAAGGATACAGGAGGTATTGTGATCTTCAAGTGTTCCAAGTCCACTTGCCATCAAGTTTTCCTGAGCCTGAAAGCAGCTCAGGTAGGAATAGTGGCTCAAAGCCCAATCAGCTTAGGGATGCACTCAAACTACTTTGATTTGTATTGGGGTCTAATATGAATTTGCAAAATATTTTTGTTTTGTATGCCTCAAATTTTCAACAAGCCTACATTTTGTTTTTTAATTTTCCATTGAGAATGATTCCTCTCATTGGTAAGCCAGTTAGATGCCATTTTGATACAAAATGGAGATATTTGACTTCCCATTGGTTGGATCCATGATATGAAAAGTTCATTTCTCTGTCACTTTTCATAATTGATGGGAGCACAGGAGATTCCCATTTCATGAGGTCAAAGTTTTGTAAAACTGATGAAATCATAGAGGCACTTCAACTAACAAAATTATGGGGTCACTAAGCAGGAATGCAATGGAGGACATGATCCTCATAATGGAGATTCACCTTGGAAGAATGTCTCATGACTACTGTCTACTTTCATATACATCTCATTGGGAACTAATGATGGAAATAATCATTTCATTAAACAGTTTTGCCCAATTATGTACCATTTCCCAAGTTCCCCTCAAGAGGAGCTTCCAATTTAAAATTTTTCTGGATTTATATACATATGTAATTAGTCTGGATGCATCCTGACCAGATCAAACAAAATTCCATAACACGGAAATGGATCATAGATGATAATAAGCAATGTTTCTTTCTCCTTTGCAGTTGCATGAATCCCTTCATCGGAGGCAGGATGGTAGGTTTTTGTGTAGTGTTGCCAACTGTGGGAAAAGTTTTAAAGCATATTTCAGCATGAAAGTGCATTTGCGGGGCCATACAAATGAGCGGCCTTTCACTTGCCTTCATCCTGAGTGTGAGAAGTCCTTCAAGACCTCAAGTGACTTGAGCAAGCACTCCAGAACACATAGTGGTTGTGTAGAGAATTATTATTGATTCTTTGCTAGTTCTGAATAAGCCAATTGAATTGAGTATTTGATCCTTCTTTTTCAGGAGAGCGTCCATATCCTTGCACTTGGGAGGGCTGTTCATCCTCCTTTTCTACCCAAGACAATCTAAGGGTTCATTTGCGAACTCATACAGGAGAACGTCCATACAAGTGCACTTTCTCTGGATGCAAGAAGGCTTTCAAATCTCAAACAAATTATCAGAATCACACCAGAATACATACTGGAGAAAAACCCTTTACTTGCCCAGAACCTGTGAGTTCAACTTCTTTCCAATACTGTATTAATCTTTCCATGAGAATAAACTGCTTCCTTTTCAAAACCAATCTGCCTAGCATAATCTCATCCTATTCCTTAAAAAGCTAATTACTCTTCATGTGTTTTCTTCTTGTGGTAGTGTTGTGGTCGGAGATTCACAGAATACTCAAGTATGAAGAAGCATGAATTGACACACAAAAAGGAAAAGACATTTAAATGTGATACCTGTGGGCAGCAATATAAGTATGCTTGTTCTTTGCGATCTCACATGAAGTCAGCCCACTGCCTTCATGAAGCACCTTCAAAGAAGATAAAAACAGTGTTATCTGCAGCTGAAGATCTCATTGAGCAGGATGACCATGCTATAAACAAATCAGTGTATTCCCTTAGGTCCAACACAAAGGTTGTTCGCCAGAAGTGTCAAACAGGTTTGCTTCAGATGAAAGATGGACTTGTTGCATCTGGTACTAAGCAAATTCTTGAGACAGAAACCTTAACTGTGAATGAATCCAATTGTTCTTCGAGGTCCAATGTGAAACCAGGTGGCCACAAAATTCGAACACCACGAAAGAAGGTCATCAAATCATCTCATGAAACATCTTCAAGTGGACAACATATTGAAAAACAGATCTCAGCTGTGAATGATTCCACAAGTTTCCTTGTCACATCAGCATCCCATCATCTTCAAGCTACTCCAAAGCCCACCAAATCATTGGATGTGCCAATTCCAATTGACCACATTGTTGATCAGGTAGACTCAAGTTCTTGAGCCCTATCACCATTAAGCATTGTAAAGTTAAGTGGAAGTAAAAATATCAAAATTATTGGTAGCAGCCATCTCAAGAGGCCATCATTAATAATGACTATAGAAGCTATCAATTAGAGCAAAGATGTCTGCATTACAGGGCCCTCAGACATCTACAAATGATCTATGGAACTTTTCCATCTCCAAATGTGAAGTTCTCCAAGTAATGATGCTTGTAAGGTAGCCCCTTCAGTGTTGACTATTGTGTTTCATAAGATGTGAATAATTATTGAATTTTGAAGAAAAAAAGCAGAAATACAGAGCTGCAGAATATTTGTGTCATGTGAATATCAAATCTCATTAAAAATAATTACAATGTCCCAAAAAAGTAACACCCAATGGATGAAGAATTTGGTATTGTATTTCATCATTTTATATTGCATACCCAAAAACATAAATACTAAGCCAGTAATAGTAAACATAGCCACTACTTTAGAGATTCTTTGATTTGTGTTTCAGGTGATCCATGGACTGCCAGAAGACATCACTTATACCTGCGAGGATGGAACTCAGATCTTCTTTCTAGTTGATGAGGAGGTTGTAATTTTGAGATGAGCCAGTTCACTATTACTGAAAAATAATGCAAGCAAAATCTAGAGAATAATGTCTAGTAATGAGAATTGTGCTTTCTGTTTCAGGATCTCATATCAGAGGAGGCGTAGCACTCACATGAACCATGATTTGGGTTGGTGAACTAGCACCGAGTTCCCACAGCTCTATGGTATCACTTCTTGCAAGTGATATACTGTCTTTGTTATGCAATCTGTATGTTTGACCAGTTTTATTCAGTGATTCAATGAGATGCATCCCTTGAGATGCTGGAATGGAAATTTATGTTTCTTTGTTGAGAAAACTTGGCTCATGTTCCTCGCTATTACATGTTAACAAACTGTTCTATTTCAAGGAGTCTATGCTGATGCAAATGTGTTTGTGTCTAAAAACTATCTAACTTGTAATGGCAAAATTAATTTGCATACATGTTAATCAGGGTTTTCTTTCCTTAACATGGTTTAAAATGGGAAATTTTGCATCAGTTCAATCTTTGCTTAGTCAACTTTCGTTAAGATACCAGGAAAAAAACCAAGTACCTGCAGAATATTTGCACTTTCTTATTAGGACACCACGCTTCATCAGACACAAGGTGGTAATCCTGCCTCCATTTTTTATTCATGAAGTAGAGGATCCTATCTTGGATGATGAATCTGAAGTGAATGCATAATTTGAAAAATGTTGCTCTGAAAAAAAAAAAGGGCCATACAGAAGAAACTCAGAGGTTCAAGAAAGGGAACATGCAAGGATCACACCTGCTCTCATTGACTCAGTTCTATTTATGTGAAGATGAAGAACGAAAAAACTCAAGTTTGTCATTTATTAATGTGATTCACTTTTCCATTCAATCAAGATAGAATAAATTCACTTGAATGCCAGCTTCATGACTAGAAAGAATATGGAAACCAGCTTGCACATAGGCCTTCAAGGCAACCTTGATCAGTAGATACACATACATCAAATTCTTTAGGATCCTTTTGTCTCATATACTGTCACTTCAGCACCGAAACTAATGCTATCGGCATCAATTTTTCAGTGACCTTTGGACATATCTTGATCATATGGGGCAACAAAATTCACAAATATTCTCATCACAGAGCAAGGCAGAATAAGCAGAGGGGCTCAACTGAAATAGTGTGTGCAGACACAATAAATAAGTCATCCTGTAAAAATGACTGGTTTTACTGAAACCAGTCATTTTTGGTCATCATTAGTTTGTAGTGAACAATGATCCATGTTCTGTAGAATCACAAGCAATATTGACCAGGTGGTTAAAATTTTCTGGCCTATCTGCATAAACATGGTGCCCAGCACCATTGATTGCCTGAATTTCTACATAAGAATCTGGCCTTTTTGCCTTGATCTCATTTCCTGGTGTCTGATCAACCCATGATCGAGACCCATAGATAAGTGTGATGGGAATTTCCTTATTCAAAGAATCAATCCTGTTAATCATTGGATACTTAGCCCAGCCAAACTGTGCCATCATGGCATGAAAGGCAGATTCACCTGATGGTGTCTGGGCATTGCAATGGTAGATATAGTTTGGGATCACCTCGTCACTGTTTGGGATGATGCTTGAAAATTTCTTGATCAAATCAGGCCGTATCTTTGCCACCAGCTTAGGCCCTAGTGGTCCTGCAGCACGTACTCCCCACAGTGGATTGAAGGGCTGAAGAACTGTTGCAATGACTCTGACCCAGGTTGGAATGTTGAATTTCTCCTGATTGATTGGCTTTTCAGGGAATCCCCATGGATCAGCCAGAATCAAATGCTTGACTCTGTCTGGAAATCTTATGGCATATGAAGCTGCTAAGAAGCCTCCCATGCTGTGGCCCATGAGAATGAATTCCTCTAGCCCCATTGCCTTCCTCCAGTCCTCAATACTCTGTACCATTTGTCCTTCTGCCTCCAAGGCATCAGAACTGAATGATGGTCTGGAGCTACGACCAAATCCAAGGATGTCAAATGCATGCACGGGTCGGGTTGATGCAAAAGCATCAAAGTTCATACACCACAGCCCAACACCAGATGCAAATCCATGTAACATGACCAAAGGGAGGCATTTGCTAGCTTCATTGAGTGAAAGAGTCCATATCTTGCATTTCTTATTACCAACACTATTCCCTATGTCAATGTATCGACCCCTGAGTCTTGACTTGACAACAGCAAGAAGTTTTTCCTCTGCTGATCGCAGAGCTGCCATAGAAGTTGGGCACCAACGCAAAGGAATCCAACTTCTCACCCAGCTGGTTTCATCAACCAGATCTAAATTCTGCTCAATTTTAGCCCCAATTGGCTCACTCATATCTGAAGACAAGTTGGTAGCAGGCTCAGACAGTGCTATTGTTGAGGTGTCCAAGGTGTGTGTGGTTCTGAAACAAAGATTATGTAAGTTTAACACCCTTTATCTGAAGAAGTAACAAATGGTAGGCTTAACCTATAACTAAATGCTTAAAAGTTGAAACTGAGAGAGCGTAATAAAAATTTAAAAGACCCAAAACTGAGTATCTCTATAAACACTCATCACAAAAGTTCCAGAATATGAAACAGGATTTGAGCAGACATCTCAAAAGCACCAGAACAGTTTCCCTTCTTCCTCTAATAAAGTCAAGTGGCATTGGCTTCATCACAAGCCTATTAGGCTTCCTGCAAGAAGAGCACCTGGTATTTATAATTGTTCTTATCTCAACAGTTAAAACAGCTGCTTCAGCTATAGCCACTTCTATACTAAATAGATTCATTAAGGGTCTTTTCAAACCAGCAAAATTTCCAGAGGCTCTAGCAGTATGCAAAAGTGATTGCAAAAAAAAAGGCACAAATCATAAGTCACCAACGATAAGCCTATGATTACTTCACCAATTCTATTCGAAGTTCTTCAGAAACTTATGGAGAGAAAGAACTGTATCTTTCCTGAAGAGCTACTGTTTAAGCCCAGGGTTTCCGTGGAGTCAGAAACAGTTTATTCCATGACTTTACTAAAGCAGTTAAAAATATCTCTCACGGTTCCCTCCACTGTGAATTACACCATATGGAAATTAAAATGTAGCTGAGAAATGGTTTACCTCATGTTCAAAAGCCATGCAACCACATGTCTCACTAGCATATCAAGACCAGCAAACATGGTGTCTCACACAGGTGGCCCCCTCTCCCAGCCTGGTTGTATTTGAATAAAAGTACCATTCATAAGTTTAGAAAATGACAACCTTTTAACTAATACTTCATCAAATTCAGCTTTGGAGTCTAATTTGGGTAAACTCCTCTTACCATAACAATGATTCCTTCACTCATAATTTCAATGTCAAATCACTAAAATTCATCCAATCTATTGGAAACCTAAACATGGGGAGGAATGACCAAGAACTGTTCTATCTTTCAAGTTGATGAGGTTTTACATATTACCACTATGCATGCATAAGCAAGCAGATATAACCAATCCCTTTCATCCAAATATTCAAAGAGAGGTTTCCTTATTATCTCTTTTCTGGACTATGAGACTTTTGCATCCCTTTTTCATGTGAAGCATATTAACAGCAATGCAAAATTTTCTTATTGCATATTCACTCCTTTCATTAAGGAAATGTGTTAATTACACAGAAACATCTATCCCTGAAAACGGTACACAAATAAGTCATTTGTACCCCAATCAGCAGCCAGAGGGTTTGAAAGAGAATTGAAGAACATACTGGTTGTTAAACTCATCTAATTACTGTGTTTGACTTCAAGAAGAGGCTTGATATCTTGATAAACAAAAAAGGAAGCAACATACCAGTACACCACCAAACAGTAGGTGGCTATGCTCCCACAGAAATAGAGGAGGATCTATCTCTTAGAGGGGTAACCGTATCTTATGGAACCTGAACAATCGACCTCGACATGGGACACCGTCATGGGCAGATAAGCCTCTTGATACCTCTATCAAAACCTTGAATCTTGAGTTTATAGTCATATTAGTTTGAAATATGGCCAAATCTGTCTTCAGACTTCTGATCATGAGTGAGCAATCACCTAATCACCCTTTCTTCTGATTATTTTAAATCTCATTTGAATGACTTTTCCTGTTTGCATTATTGCCCCAGAAAACGTACATTTTTCAATTACAACTAACTTAATTTCGAGTGATTCGGTTTCTTTCCTCTATATATACGATTTTGGGTTCGGTCTGTTTCAGGAACAAATAAATTTTAATCAACTAAAACAAAACTAAAACAGAATCGGCAGCAACTTAAGCGTAGGCCTCATCATATATCTACTCTGGGGCTAGACATACCAAAGTCAACCCTAGGCCTTTACACTGGAACGTAGGTTTCACGTCGGCATGGAAGCAAACACAACTCGAATTCATACACCAAATGTCACAGGAGCATTCACAAAGGTGGGGGGAAACATTAGCCTGAAAGTCGCAGGAGATCCTGAATCATTGGAGCGGGCAAACGAATGACTGCGCATTTCACACGGCAGCCATGAACACCGTTACGTAAGCAGAGAACTGCGATTGTCCTTGGCCGAGTGGGCCGTACACTTGGACTCGTGGTTGTGCTTTGTCACCAAATAGACTGACTGCAGTGATTTACTGATAATTCTCACTGTCTTTAGACGGGCTCCATAGACCTAATGTAATTTCTATCATGGGAGGTATACTCTCACCCCCTTGGCTGCGCCGTTGAAATAACATTGCACAAAGTGAAGGCAATTCATAAGTCCTGTAGTTTTGGAAGGGATCGGAAATCGATTGAACTGAGTCCCTTCGGGCTAGGTCACATTGAGGTCCTCGTTCCGGACTAGCTCCGTTCTGGCATAAGGAAAGCATTGCGCATCTTGCTTCTGTGTTCTTGCTTCCATGCCAGGGTCACGTCATGAATTCCGCCCGGTGCCGCATTGTTTTTAATGCTGATGTACTCCGGGAGAAGTTGGAGGTAACCCAAACTTATTTTAGTTTATTCGTGATTCCTCCCATTATACAGTATATGCCTGCAGAAGTGGCTTGCAGAGAGGACGAGAGTAAGGAATACTTGGAGTACTGTCTCTGAGCCCCCCAAATTTCTCAACAAATCGCCGCTTATGTGCATATCAGTTCCTGATATGCATATACAGGGTGATGCAAAAGTCCTGCCCCTTAATAATTTTTATTTCTACCGCAAATGTTAAAACTGGCTGCATGTGAGTGTTTCCTAAACATGGATACGATGATGAAAGCTGTCACGTCACGCGCGTGAGGGCCTCTTTCATTGCAGCCCAAACTGCACGAATGTTGTTTTCCAACCGGTCATCGTTGTGGGAAAGGGAGGTGCACGCAGTTGACTTCAAGTGATCCCACAATAAAAAGTAGAGTGGTGTAATTAAAGTCCGGGGACCTTGGTGGCCACTCGATCGGTCCTCGTCGGCCAATCCACATATGAGGAAAGACTTATGTTCAGCCATTGTCACACTACCAGGACGAAATGGGGCAGTTACCCATCTTGCTGGAAGCAAAGCTTGAAGCGGGACAGAAGCGGGATATCGTTCAAGTAGGGTATTAGCACTATGGTAAGTTAGGTATCTACTTACCTTACCAGCATGGTAAGGTACGCATCCCTGTGATGGTGCCATCGAAGAAGGCAAGTCCAAAGATAATATCCTCGTGGATACTGCACCATTCTGTGATCCTTGAGTCTTGTTGAGGATGAATCATGCCGAATCAGAAATCCTATGGGGCAGGACTTTTGCACCACCCCATTTAATGCGAAGTGAATCCATCTGTAGCGGTTGCCAATTCCAGTTTGTACTGGAGCGTGACGTAGAGCTTCGACAAGAAATTAGCGTCACAACGTACGAATCTTGATGAGACAAGACTCATTTTTCAAATCATGAAAAGTGGTAATTAGGATGTTAGTACATGATAGGAGACTATTCTTTCAGGAACGTGATCGAAGCTATCCAGCGCTGGTTTTTATTTCAGAGTTTGTATTTGGAACGGTTTCAACGTCAAATTTAGGTGTTAGTGTTTTCCACTTGAGTGACGAACATTTTTCTCTCGACGCAGGCACTCCGGCACGAGAAATCACCCTACGCATGAGCATACATTGTAGCCGTGCAAAACATTGAAGGGAAGCAAGTAGGTCGCTCTTAAAAGATTTTCGAAAATCTACCCGTGCCCAAAATTCTTTGAGATAAATACTTGGATAATCCCAATGAAGACCATAGAAAATTTCCCTCGTAGCAATCTTTTGTAAATTGCTTTTTGAATATCCCCAACAAACAAGGCTACGTTGGACCAACGTTGCAACAACGTTCCAAACGTTTATTCAACGTTGATTCAACATTGATTCAACGTTATGTGCTTAAAATTGTTTGCTGGGTCCCTTTCACCATGAACCTCATCACAATAATTCGTTTTTAATTTGGGTAATGAGTAACCGAGCAAACAATGTCTCACGACCAAGCCAATCTGCCAATCCAGAATGACTGAAATCTACGAAATGTTGTAAAGCACGCAAGTATTTAGGCATTTAATACAAGATTGGTTCTTGGCACAAGCGCTTTTGTCTTTTCTATTGTGGTAATTTCAGTGCAAACCTCCCTGTAATAAAATTCCTCTAATAATCTGAAATCTCAGCTATAAATTTTTCGATGAACTTTTAGCTATTTCTCAAGATAACTACAAAAACTCCAATGAGATAATTGATGGGTTTAGAGCATTCATTCCTGAATTCAGAGCATTTTTCTGCACTCTTTTTCATTTGGCGACTTTGCTTTGCGGCAAAACATTTCTGAATACCTCGACCACTCACTCCTTTCATCTTCAAAGTTAGAGTAGAGATTTGTAGTGGCGAACTCCTGCCGTTCTCCAGTTTTACTGCTATGACTTTTATTCTATTAAAGTTTTTTTTTTTTAATTGTCTTTCGAAATAGGTCTTGGGTCCAGTGACGCTCATATTTTTAATCGAATTTTCGGTAAATGTACATGAATATCTACTTGACACAATACTTGAGTACATTTTGGCGATACTTATGTTTATGCTTGAGTATTTTTGAAAAGTAATGCTTTATATTTGTATTTGAACACTGAGAGTTTCATGTCCCTACTAACATTTCTTCCCATTTCTTAACCAGAACCCCAAAATAAGGGCGGCAGTGGTGCACGTATGATTAGCCGCATGGTTATTATATATGTGTTATATTCAATCACTGAAAATTTCAATAAACACTTTAAAGAATTACGGAAGTTGTGAAAATTTCCATCAAGATTAAAATCACTGGGTACAGGATTTGATTAATTTTTCTTAAATCACCCAGGTTGGCTGGGACTCTGTGTTGCGTGACTTTTACGAGAGTACTTATCCGTTGGACTTGACTATTTTTTGTAAGGGACATTTTACCACAATCGTTCGATATCTAGTGGTTGCAGACTAAAAGGTGACTTCTAAAAAAAATTAATGGTGACCTTTGATTAATGGTGACCATAGAACTTGATAGCTGCGAGAGATTTAGGATTGTAGCAGAATGAAGCTGATGAATGTCCGGTCGCAATTATACTCATCAATTCGTCCCTCTCTCTGTTATTCGCAGCAAGAAATGCTAGTTTGATTCTCTATAGCCGAGTTTCTTGAGAAAGGTCAAACGCCCATTTTTTGCATCCACTCCGGGGCAAAAACTTGCTCCGGAAGTCTCTCCTTCCCTATCCACGCTCGGGCCTGCTCAGAAGGGGGCGTCCTGGTTTACCTCTCGCGCGGCCTGTGCTCTTCAGAGCAAGGGCACGCGCAATTGCGTAATGGTGCTCCAACGTTTCGTAAGCTATGAGAGTAATGATAGCACGCTCAGTCACTCTTCCTTCAACATCCACATTGTTTATTTGTGAATCACGATATGCCCTTGAAGCCAAACGTATCAGGAGGAAAAAATAACAGAAGAGATATGGTGATCTATGAGATCATTTTCACAGGCAAATGGATGAAGTTACAGAGAGAGAGTCTGGAATTGACTAGATAGCACCCTCATAAATAGCAAATAATTTTCTGAGTTTCTCTTTTTTTTTGTGACCACAGAAACCGAAAGTGGACCTTTTTAAGTACGGTCAGCGCGTTCGATGAGATCCAGAAACCTGCCCTACCGATGCAACATTGATATACGGTCATTTCACCGAATGTGCGAAAAAAAAGGGGGAGTTCACGAGGGGTTGGGTTCGACGGGAGGGGGGATTTTGTTGAGTTGAGACGAAGATTGCGTGATTGATGAGGCTGCGGTGGAGATGGCCTGCATGTTGTATTCATTTCCGGACCCTCCAGGTGCTGCCGGGCTCTGTGGGGAGAAAAAGGAAACGAGTCCCTCTCTAATGTCTCCCCTATCTGGGCTCCATTACTTGCCTATCTCTTCCTCTCGAAAAACCCGCAAAGGCTCCAGGTGGTTTTTCACTTCGATCAGAGATAAGCTGGCAGAAATGAGACCTATCGCGTCCTTCGCTCGTGAATCATCGTTCTTGGATATTGTGAGTGCATGGCTGGGGTCCTCGCTTCCCCTCGCCTCTTGATTCATATTTCAGATTCAAGGTGTACGAGGGGCATTTAAAAAGTTCTTGAACTTTTCCCTCCGTGATTAGTTCCTCCTGGAGCCGACCCAATTTTATGGATGAGATGCTTTGCTCAGATAGTGAATATTTTTTCGAGTTCATTACTCTTTTCTTGTAATTTTCATGGTCACTTTTGTGCAGGTTAGAGTTTCATTGATTGAGTTTCCGGTGACGATGGGTGAAAAGCCTTTTATAAAGTATTGAAAGGTTGTGAAACATTCGTGGGGAAGAATTCGTGCGTTGCAGCGCAGTTTTCGACCGAGTAGGTAGGTTTTTGAGTGGGAGAGTCGCTCTTTCTGAGAACCACCAATTTGGGAGACCCACGACAGCTTATACGCCTCAAATTTTCAATTTGTGGAAAGCCTCTTACCGGTGATCGTTGATATAACATTGAAGGGCGTTGCCAAAAGTTGCCAATATCCTAACAGATCAATTTCATCGCATCTTACGCGTCGCAGTGCCTTGAAAGATCAACCGAATGAGCTTTTCAACCAGTTGGACGATTGAGGCCTGACAACTATCGAGAGTTTCACATATTGCTGGTTCTCGGAAAGAGAGATTCCCATCCAGAAAATGACTTGTTAATTCAAATGTTGCGCTGTAAGTCAAAACATCTTCCCCATGAACGTTTTTCCGCTTTTCGAAAACTTCATCGGCCTTTTCAACCTTCTCACCGAAGATTCTGTAGTCTTCCGTGAAATTTGATGTTGAAAAAGAATGGCATGAAAATTACAAGAATGGAGACATCGAACACGTTCACAGATTATCCACACAGTCACAGCAAGCCATCTCACCCATAAAATTTGGTTGGCTTTAGGAGGAACTAATCATAAAGAGAAAAATCCGGGAACCTTTGAAATACCCCTCGAAAGAAAATCTACCCATTTCATGAGTGAAATTTTCATGAACGAATGGGTATTCGTCAATGATGAACCAGTTTTCCACAATTAGAGACTCTAATTTCTTGCCGATTTCACAGACTTGGACGAATAGTAACATTTTTCGCGCCTCAAAAAATCGACTTTTTTCATATTGCTCTGTAATGCCGTTCGAAAACTGCATTTTAATGCATAATAATAAATTTTTTTGTAACTCGATCTCTCATATTGTTTATTTCAACAATCGCCTATATGGATATGCTTACGTTGGATCTGTCTCTGTCACTAAAGCATATGAATGAGAGGTTTAAAACTGACCTCTAATCACGTAAAGATGTGAATTGGGAGAAACTCCAACAGACCTGGTAGGATTGGAATCGGGGGGAACCCGTGGAGATGTTGCAGGGAGGTTTGAACGGGTTCCCGTTGTTGCACGAGGGGATCTGGGAAAACACCAGCCGCTCCTCATAGTCGTATTCGCACAGGATCTTGTTGTCCCACAGGTAGAAGCGATCTCCCACGCAGAACCTGATCGTCCGGTCAAGACATGAAAAACGCACCGTTTTCGTTTTTTCGTGGATTTTACATCAAGGACGAGGCATGTATTCATGATGGATGAAGCTGTACGAAGGACATTTCCTCCAAATCTTGAAGTTCATGCTGCACACTGTCATTACTGAGTATCCAGAATTTTAGCATATTTCAAGTCCTGTGCGCTTGAAGGAGCCGATTCCTTTATTATGAAGAAAATTAAAATTACCATGCCAATAAAGGGAACAAGGGAAATCACTCCGCTAAATTGAGATAAGTATGACAACGGATTCTCCATCCTGGAAGATACGCATAAATATGGATGTTGGCATGTGCCCAAATGCCGCAGAAAAACCATGACTTGAAAAATCATCAGAGTAACATTAATTCAGGTGCATGCGCCAATAGCTGAGGTACGCCAATGTTCCACTTACCCTCTATATTGCTTGCAAAAGGGTTATATTACTGTTTGAAATATTCCCGGAAGCTTGAAGTTTATCACAATAAAATTTGTCACTACTGAGAACTTTCAGCTAATTCTAGTAGGGGGGTTGCTATGGTTGGTTGATATGTCGAAGTTCGATAGTGAACCCTTTGAAGTGGTTTCTCTTTCATTGCAGCTTATTTCATAAATTGATCAAAATTAGATACTAAGATAGAGGAAGAAGAAACTTATCAGGGAAAAAATTGACCAACTCCTCTATGCTGAACAGCGAACCGCCTCAGGTGTTTCCAGCACACAATGTTCAATATATGCGAAAATTTGGATAACGCGTTTTTTTCAGGGGGGGGGGGGGGGAAGACTTCTTGACTGTCATGTTTAGAGATCGAACGCTCAAGTCCGTAATCCTGTTAACAAAAATGTAGGCCTACTTCAGAATTTCAGCCACTCAGCCTTAACAAATTGTTCGTCAATTTCAAGTTTCCCCCCATTTTTTCGCTGCTTATATTTTTAGACAACCTAGTAGAGAACCACTATCATCGCACAACATTTCCATAAATAATTATTGAATTGGCCCAGGTGCAATTGGAAGTGGGAGCTAGAATGAGAGCCTGTGGCTTATGCTACCTAGGCAGCTTCAGTGACAGCGGGTGGAGCACGAATGGCTATATAGCTTCTTTCTCTGTGGATTTTATCTCCTGTGGCAAAATAGACTGTGGCTTTGATGTAATTAGAAAGAACAGAATTTTCCGTTCCATTTGGTGTGCGACCTTATGATATCAATATGAGGTTTCCGCAAAGTCACAATGGAAAGGTGTACAAGTGGTTTGCTGAAGCAGGAATAAGAGCGACATGAATGAAATACACCACGGTTGGCATAGCGTCATTAGAGTGGGCGTTCTACTTTCATTCGCTTGCAAGTGGAGATTACATTAACAGATGGTGAAATCACAATGAAGAGGGTTTAAAGTGGTGGGACAGCCATGCGGCTGTATCATTGTTCAGGCAGAGAACAATAGCTGAGGGATGGGATGTTTTTCAAGGTCAAGGAGCTTGCGGTGTTAATACCAAAGCAATCCCTTTTCCTTCATGATTTTGGTGGCACCTCAGCATGCTCATCATTATCTGTTGCATTTCAGAAAAAAAAATAGAAATCCAAACTTTTAATGATTGGAAGTCGTGGTCTAGTTTGCTGTGGCCAAGAGGAAAGGTGTAAACGACTGAAAACTTTTATGCACCGGAGCATAGCTGCCTAATAAAAATGCAAATGTTCTTTTTTTTTAAATAAGAAATATTCTGTACAATGCTGACCTGTGATTGCATTGCTGGCAAGCAAAGCATTCCAGATGATACACGTTGCTCCGAGCCCTCATGACCATTTCAAAAGCAGGGATCACCTTCTGACAAGCGGAGCAGAAACCCGTCGCTCCAAACAACCTGCAAAATCCAGTTTCCTGCCTTATCGGGTGATTTAAAACCTCATTTACCTACCAATCGGGCCATCGTTCGGGAAGGTCTATTGTGCGGGACAGGGAGAAAGAAATCTAAGCGATAGGATATCGTTGACGACGGCAGGGATTGGTGTGTATGTGTTATAAGGCAAAAGGGGGGAGGTCATTTTCGTTGGCGGTTCAATGAAGCCCACGAGGGATCGCTTAGCAAGGGCTCTCAATCAAGACCCCCGACTGACTTTATCGTTCCGCGTTTTCCCCAACTCCCTTTTGTTCCCACTTTTGGCTTCTCTGGCTTTCTCCCCACCCCACCCCCCTTAGCCTTATCGAGCCTCCATTCAACGTGTCCATTGTGGTCTGATAGCGGCCTAAATGATGCGACAGATAAACGGTAATTATTCAGGCATGGCTGGTTCTCTCCCTTCATCAATGGCATCATTCACGTGATGCCATTGCCGTTCGTGTCTATAGGGGGGGATCATCCCTTCCGCAGATATTGACAGTCGTCGCTTTCTCTCTGCGACAGGGATATTCAATTTATCGACATGTCATTACGGAGCAGGAAGAGATAGGTAGTAACCCCATCCATTTGAGTTAGGGGGAATGATTACCTGACGCCTTCCTCGAGATCCCTGCGAGTTGGTTCGATCACGAGAGGCGTCGGCCAACTATATATCTCCTGTCAGACGTTGCAAAACACATACGGAATACGGGAAGATGAGAGGGGAAGCAAAACGGGGAACTTTTGATGAGACTGTCGGGTCAACTTAATGCGGGCGAGGCGAGGCAGTGTACGTGTATAATTGGGTTCCCTTCATCTCCCAGGAGCCCGTGGATGGACACCTAATCAACTGATTATATAGGGGGTAATAGAGTTAATATCGGGGTGTCCAGGAAGAGTCCCAGGAGGCACTGATAGCTGGGCCTGAGGAAGAGGAAATTCATGAGCTGGATGATTGAGAGGGGTGCAAAAGCCAGGATCTATCCTATATTTCTTTCCTTTTGCTCTCATTTTTCTTTCCTGCTCCGTTTTCTCCTCGATTCATGGCCGAAGGCCTCATCGGAGAAGCGTCACATTTCTCGCTTCGGTCGTAATGACCCTTCCTTTTCGTTTGATTGCATCCCTTTCCCCTGTAAATGGATTAACAGCTGGACAGGGAGACATGATACCCGATTGCCGAGCTCGTTTCCGGGATCTTTCCCGGGGGATTCATCTGTGGGAATTGGGGGGGGGGGGGGGCAGGGGGGTCTTCATAACATGACCGCGAGGATCGTCTGTGGGAGATCGGGTACCCGCAGGTTAGACGAGAACGAGGTCTAGGTTTCCCTGAGACGTCACAAGATGTGAGCCACCGCACAACATCGTCTCATGGTGAATTTCAGAATCATTTCGTACATTTTCAAATCGACTTTGAACATTTTTGGATCGACTCATTTAGGTCCACAAAGAAGTTCGTAAGACGTCAATTCTTAAATCTGCAGAATCGATCCGATTTCGTATTTATTAAATGTCTTCGTTCATTTTCCCCACAGATCCTGCCCTTATACGACAAATGAGGGAGAATGATATGACTCATAGCAAAGGGGTTTGACACTACTGCACATCCTGACACTTTTCATCGCGCCACTCGAGGATTTTTTGTATTTCGAATTTGTGTATTTCGCAAGAACGAGGATGCTTAAGCGAAGACCAAATTTAATTCTTCTTAGACAAAAACATATACAGTGGTACCTCGCATAACGAACCCAATTCGTTCCAGCGGTGCGTTCGTTATGCGAGGTGTTCGCGAGTGAAAGTGAAACATTTTTTCCTAATTTCCTTGAATGGGAAATCGTGTTTCGCATAACGAACACCTCACATAACGAACGCACCGCTGGAACGAATTGCGTTCGTTATGCGAGGTACCACTGTATACGTATTGAGGGAAACAAGTGCCATGCCCTTGCTTCCTTTGCCATGTAAGGGCAGCGCTCGTCAATCGTCCATATGGAAAAGCAGGACTTTTCTCACCGTAGGTAGTCCCTCTTGCAGAGGAAGAGGTTGGCCTTGGTGAAGAAGGTGGAGCCCACCTCTCCCAGCCGACAATCGCAACATCCGCATTTTAGACAGTCCTCGTGCCAGTACATGTCCAAGGCCTTCAGCAGATACCTGTTTACACAAACGGCAGAGAATTACGCTCCATGAGGGCACTTAGGGAAAAGTTTGCATACTTTGCGAGAATGGTGGAGAAAAAAATTATTTTAATTATTTTTAATGCAGAGAAGCACCAAAGATCGATAAAAAGGACTGATAAAACGTAGAATATGCTCTCTAAACATTGTAAAGCTGCATGCATTACCTTGTTTCCTGCTCGCTTTCGATTCTTGCAACCAAGCTCCGCGTTGAATCGTTTTCTATTACACTTTTATGCGTCACAGAGAGAAAACCCAGAACACCCTATGAAATTTCCCTATGTCTGTAAGAAATTGTGACTTGATGGGGGGGGGGAATTCACAATGTTAGAAAAGTGGTGGATATTCCATCTTGTTTCGAACCGCCCCTGGGTATGGAATGAGACTCCAACGATTTTCAACTTCCTAATTGGATCTCGCGTAAGATCACGGATGGTTGAAACCGATCACGTATGTCAATCATTCTGTTGTTCTGGACATAATGTTCTTCGCAGCGTTTCCACTTTATTTCTTAGCTTCGATGACGTGCAAAGGTTTGACACCTCTCTCGACTGGTAGAGACCTCGGACTAATTAATAGGCGTCTTTCGCGTGGAGAAGATGCCTTTGTAACTTACCTGTAAAGTCTTCATCTGGAGAAATTCTGAATTTTATCGTTACCGATCGTTTTACCGAGGAGAAACGTGAGGAAAAGTAGGCTTCTTGTTACACTGACCATAGAAAATCTCGTTAAGCAGAGACTTCTATGAAGTTTTCCAGAATTCATGGCCAACGAAGGTCGTGGTGTGGTAACGACAGGTGAAAAAAAAAACAAGCATGAGCAACGAAGAACTGAAGGGTACAAGAGTCTTATGCATGCACCAGAATCGCCGTCACAATGTGAGAGAAAGGAGAGAGCAATGCCTGCACAAAGCCGCATGTGGTGGGGGATCCCATGATAGACGTCAAGTCGGCAAGTAGACCACTTCCGATTGCTGCATGTCTCTATGTCGGATCGTGTCACTTTCTCAAAAGTGCAACGTTTCTGCATGATTTGTCGTTTTACATGGGATCCTCCGTGTGCGGAATGTGTAGGCAATGTTTCCTCTTCTGCTGCCCACTGACATTTTCTGGTGTGCGAAATAAAATGTATGCACCCTACAGTGGCGTATTATTTGTTTGTTCTTCCACCTGTGTCGTCCCCACACCAATATATTTTCGAACATGTATTATAGAAAATTCTGCGTAAACAGTGCGGGGATCCTATACGTTAATGTTCAGGCCACGGGTGAGCTGTAAAATCATACAAATTCATCAAAAAGGAAACATAGAAGTCCCCCCCAAAATAATTCCCAGTACTTCAGGTCCCGTGCAATTCGACTCAACATCCACCGAGCACGAACACGCCGAAACGAACCAACGAAAAACGACAGCCACGAATCTAGGCATCCACGGCACCAGAGATGAACTCGGAACCTCACCTGTCGGTGATCTGCTTGCCGCATCCCGCACACTCGCTGGCTCCGGACACCTGCACGTCGCAGCGCTTCATCTCCATCCTCAGCTTCCTCAGCTTCCCCTTCCGAGAGACAACGGACTCGTTCATCGCATGCTCGTCGGAGGGGCATAGGAAAAATTCACGGACGACGTCCGAGATCCATAGAGACCGTTTTCCCACGGAAATCTATGATGGATCGCAAGTGGATCTGTCAACAAATAAGCTTTCGTTTCCCCCCGTTGTAAAGACCCTGGGGAAAGTCGGACGTTGAAATTACATGAAACCCGACACCCCACCCCTCTCCCCCTAGCGAATATATGGCGGGAAAAAAAAAACTATGAAAGTTAATGGGAGATTTTGATACGGGTATTATGGTAGAATTGTCGGTGTCTTTTGCCGACAATCTTTGACAGGCTTGTTATCCTTTCTCGTAGAAGCCCATTTAATCTTTTCATCTTCAATGAGATGTCATGTAAAATTGTCTCCATTTTTTTTGTATTCCACACAGTCATCTCGAAGTTCAAGGGGAATTCGAGTTAACGAAAACTCGAATTATGGAAGTTAATTCGATTCTATACACTGCAAAATTGTGTACAATATAAAAAAAAAGTGTAATATCTACTCATTTTAGCATAATTGCTTTGAAAAAGTCAATCGGAGAGTTTGACATATTTTCGCGGCGTCGTCACGATGTTTTTCAAAGGCTCGATGGCGTGCCAAATGTGCCAAATCAGCCCTGACCTCAACAAAGTTCCGAAAATGGTTGACGGCGAGGTTCACGGACACAGACTGTGTGCTGATAAGTGTCCCAACCTTTCCCAACCGATCAGAGTGGAAACCGAAGGCGTGAATCATCGCATTCTTGGGATGACCGACTCTACAGGATTTGTGGTTAAGCTGACGTGAAGTTCATCCCTGTATTTGTTCGGGGAAAATAGAAAAGGTAGGGCAATACATTTAGAGCTATCGAGAAATTCGAACAGTTCGAGTTACAGAAGGGGAAAATGCATTGTCCTTATGACACTTTCGCCAGGAAAGGCAGTAAGTTAAAAGAAATTCCAGTCGATCGTAGTTTGCAGCCGATGTCACGGAGGTAAAGGAAACGATGTTGAAAGCTCCAATTTCCTCTGATGACACCATACTTTGAGACTTTCGATCTCGTCCTGCGAATATTAAATACAATAGATTGCGCCCTCGTGACATCATCGACTGTCGCCGAAAACGCATGGGAACCCATCAGCGAGAAGAAGCGGGGAGCGACCGTCATCGTAAGTACCCGACAGCGGGAGTGCCTAAATCACGATGAATCGCGAGGGGAAAACCCCCATCGAGTGGGGGGAGCGCATCGCGGTTACCCTGCTGGGCGTGGAACTGCCGACTGCCCTCGTTAGTCTCCCCGGATGACGCGAGGGGAGGGAGGGAAGGAGGGATGGAAGGAGGGAGGGAGGGAGGGATGGTTTCATCCACGGTGACACCGCCTTTTGTTTCGAAGGAGACGGGGTTGTCTCGGGCGTCGATGGGGTCTTTAATTAATTGCGGGTCGTTATTTAATTATCTCCCCTGCGTATTTTATCTGGCGGGAACGGGGCAGGTGGTTCCGTTCCGGGCAAAATCATCATGGCAAACACTGTTTTAACTTTCCATCTGGGGAAATCGATGCGAGCGTACCTTCCGCGAATCGTCGATGCCGTTTCAAAAGGGGGAAAAATACGACTTTTGAGGTACCGTCTGGTGGAGTGATCATTATGGGAAAAGCGTGGTGGAAAAAGAGTGAGGGAGAGGGAAAGAGGGGGTTTCTTCATTTCCCGAGCACTTTAAACCAATTTCCTGGGCCGGGGTCGGGACAGGAAATTTTGTTATTTCGCCAACAATACCGTCGAGGAAATTATGTGCGAGGGAGACAGGGAAGAGGGTCGAGATTGAAAACCCATCTCTCTCTCTCTCGCGCGCTCTCTCACTTACTCATTCACCGAATTACTTGCTCATCCATCTGCAGCGCATTTTCCTATAGCGCCGCTGCCATCTCCTCGCTCCGGACAAAAGCCCTGTCGATCATCGGGAAGTTCATCCGAGCAAAAACGGGGAGGGAATCGACAATTTAAACGACGATTCGATCGAGACGATTTAATAATAGACGACTCGATGTAATAATAGACGACTCGCCAAACCAGACGGTTCAGAGCATTTACGAAGAACAAATGATTTTCGATCCTGATCCGGCGAAAATATCACCGACGCGATATCGAGGATAGCGTTTCACACGACTTTCAAAATCTGTTTATCCACGGTATTTGGCTGGTGTTGGCATGAATGGGGACCGAGAGGATATATATCCCCCCTCCCACCCCCCCACCCCCCTTTTTGGGGCGGGGAGGAAAAGAAGGTCGCGTGCGACGCTGAATGGCCCGTCTAATCGAGTGTGAATGGTGAGCACCCGCTGATGAATGGAAGGTTTTTATAGATATACCCTGCCTTTCTTTTTTTTTTTTTTTTACTTGGCTCGGCGTCGCGATCTTTATCAGGTGACGAAAACCCCCCCCCCCCCCCCCCCCCCCCCCCCCCCCCCCCCCCCCCCCCCC